CCTCGACCTCCCAGAGTGCTAGGATTACAGGCGTGAGCCACCGCGCCCGGCCTGCCAATGGTTTTTTTTTTAAGGTACTACCATAATCAGTATTGCCACATGCTGCAAAAACAAAACTGGGGGGGCCCCAGGTCTAGCAATTTTGTCTCCACCATTTGCCTTCACACAAATGTACCACAGGAAGTAATTACCTGTATGCATAATACCAGGCTAACAGTGCTTTCTTTTGTTTCAGATTGGGCAGTATATCATGTCCCTGCCCCTGAATCTTGAACCATTTGTGACTCAGGAGGACTCCGCCTTGGAGCTGGCATTGCACGCCGGAAAGCTGCCGTTTCCTCCTGAGCAAGGTGAGGAAGGACCAGGGAGTCACAGCACTTGCAGTGGACTCGATGTGATTTACATGTTTGTTCTTAACACCCACAGCTCTCAACACACACCTCTCTCCAAGCTCCCACTGAAATAGTTGTCAAAATATAAAATAGATACTAAGAAAGATCAGGGCCTACCTCTTGTACCCTCTGAGGAACTTCTGCAGGACACAGTCCTGGCCAGGCTGACTTAGGGAAAGAGCTGTCCTGACTTTGTTTCACAGTATGCAGAGTAGCCCTGGGGAGGAGGGCAGGGATTCCTGCAGTGAGCTCCACCAGCGCCTCGGCTGGTGAGAGTGGCAAGAGGGCCTGGGGTCATAGGCACTTGGTAGGAGAAGCAAACTTACAGGGCAAGGGTCCTGCTGGCCTCACTTTCTCTCTGCTGCCCCCTCTGTAGGTCACATGCCACAAGTGACACCTTATAAGAACAGTTTTGCCAGTGAGGTTAAAAACAAACTCTAAAGCAGAGAGGTAACATATCCTGTCTGATGTCTCTGGCTATAGCTTGCTCTGGACTCCCCAAGACTCTTGGATCGCCAAACGAACAAGGCAAAGATACAATAAGTTAAATTTTTTTATTTTTCTCATTATCTGGGCCTGACAGATTTGAACAGGAACCACACACTCGCTGATCAAAAATCACCTTAATTCCTAATATTGTGTATTATAAGCCTGCCTCTCTGTAAGGTCGAGCAAAGGAAACAAAATCACTTGATATGTAAAAGATTCAGCACCTCAAAAGGGAGTTAACTACACTAAAGATAAAATCATATTAAAAGGTTAAAAATCAAGGGATGCTAAAAAACATCCTATGTAAATGCAAATAAAAAGAAAGCAAGGTGATTGCATTGCTACTGGATGAAGTCTAATTGAAACCAAAGACAGTAAGCACAGCCAAGCAGGGCACCGCTGAGGCCGGTTGTGCCTGGGTAAGGGGCTCACGCTGCCTTCCGGGGAGCTGTAATCAGGCCTCCCTGAACCTGCGTGGGACTGAGAGAGGGAGATGCGGGCAGGAAGAAGCTTGAATGGGGCATGAGAGACAGGAGAGGGGATAAGAGAAACAACAAACGAAGGTACCGAGTGCAAGAGGATGAGGACAGGAGGTGAGGATATGAGGTGAGAGCAAGGATGGAAGAGTCACCTGTGGGCTGAGCATGTATGGGGGCCCCAGAGGCAGGAGGGAGGAGGGCTGAAGGGGATCCCAGATTGGAGAAGAAGAGGCCACGTTGTTCCAGTGTAGGAGCAGAGTGGGGGACTCTCCCATGTGGGGATAAGCTGAAAGGTCTTCCCTGGGCAAGCCCACGACCAGACTGGACCCCAGGACGAGTTGCCCTTTGGGTGACCCAGGCCTCTGCCCAGACCCTCTCTACCTGAGAGAAGGTTGTGCATTTCCTTCGGATTCTCTCCCCTGCCTCCACCCTCCCATGAGTCCCTAAGAAGTCCCCCAGGATGTGCGCTTAACCATTAGACCGATACAAGGAATCAACATCCACATAGTTTGCCACAAGAAATAAACATCGTGCTTAGAAATCCAGCTTTAACAACTTATAGTTATTCCCCACCTCTACCCGCTAGAAGAAGCATCTACACAATTTCAATAATATCAGCCAGGAAAATTTAAAATACAAATTTTCCATTTATACACTGGTTCTACCTGGTGGACAAAGGAATGTCAAATCTACCCACAGTGCCAGCAAAAACTAGGCCCTAGCATTTAGCTGTCATACCAAAACTTCCAGAAATCTGGAAGCAAGTGATGAAATCAAGACGATACCCACTGTTACAGGTTCCCCTCTGCCACAGAGACACATCCTTTGGACCACAGGGCAATGTCTATATCCACAAAACCATAAGTCTGTGTTCCTTGGGCTTTTGCTGCCAAAGTTCAGCCAAGTGATGTGTCAGGATTAGGTGTCTGCAATTTGCTCTATATTTGTTTTCTCAATCCCTACTCCTTGGTACGTGTAGCTTACTGAGCTTGGAGTAGGGAGCAGGGCACGTTGCTGCTAAGTCTTGATAGCGTGACAGAATGTCGGGGTGACACTCATGGTCCTCTGCTAAGCCTGAGGATTACTTGTGCTGGATCTTTGGAACCTATCTGTGCCAGAAAAAAAAGAATGAAGCTGTTTGAGTTCAATTTCGTGTACTTTGCATGCAGCACCTTACCTATAACAAACAGGTTTATAAAAGAGTTAAAAATCAAGCCAAGGTTAGGAAACAAGAAATCAGAGGCAAGAGGTGTTGGGAGGCATCTCGAGGTCACAGACCAGGAAAGGATAGGGAAGGTGACACCCAGGGGCACAGTCTGGGGATGCCTTTCTCATGGAGTGTTGCCTGGCTCAAGGGGGTGCCGTGCTACTCCTTCCTTGCAGGTCCTGTGGGTAGCTGATCCCCGAGGCAGGGGAACTCCCAGCACCAGCCTAACCTCCCGTCTTTCCATCTGCCCTGGTCTCCTGCTTAACGCCAACTTAATTCTCTCTCACTTATCCCTCTCTTGCCCCAGGCTGCTCTTCCCTTATCCATGTATTATGGTCTGAGAGCGTGAGCTACCCAGGCTCCCTGCCCCGATGATAATGAGCACAACCGAGTAGCTCCTGCAGGCGACCCTCGACTCTAAGGCTCACTGAAGCCCTTGCAGGGGAAACTATTATTTCAAATCTTGTTCATGGTTATCCGTGGTGAGTCAGCTGATAAAGACCAGTACACAGGTCCCCACATGTGAACTTGACATTTAGGATAGTCTGTTGGTAAGCGGAGGCAGGACTGTAGCAAAGAGATAAAGTCATGGTGTTATGAGGGCCAATTCTTGACTCTACACGGTGGATAATTTCTCTTTCTGTGGGAATGATCCCCAGCCCCGCTGGCTGGGAGGGAGTAAGCAGTCATGGTGTCCAGCAGAAGTTTCCTGAGAAACTCGTGGAGTGTCCTGAGACAGCCTTGTGGAGATGCTCCATGTGTGTACACTCACCTTTGTGTGTGTGATTTTGCACATGCATGTGTGTGTCTGAATGTGTATGCATGTGTGGTTGCTTGCACACATGTGGAGGTATATGTACATGCGCAGCTGTGTGTAGCACACGAGTGTGACTTCGTACGTGTGTGTGACTGTGAATGCATGAGTGGGCGTTTGTGTTGGGAGCAGGCCCATGGTGGTCCCTGGCATTACCACCTACGGATATCTGCGCACTACAGGAGGTGATGAGCTATTTCTGTTGTCTCATGTGTTTACATTAAACATTAATCAGTGAGAGAATTTTTGGTGCCGGTTAGTATCTTTGCATTACAGCTGTACTCCTAGATTCCTCCAGCGTTTTGGTTGGCGCCTAGAAAAATGTACCTCCTGATATGTAAATCATGTAGTTTCTCTAAATTATTAAAATCTATGTGCGAAACTGTATCAAGTGGGATAGCTTTGTGCCTTTCTGCCTGGTAGCTCAAAGTACTTGAAGAAAATCAGTTGTTTTCTTTCATTGGAGCCTTTTAGAAACGTTTTCCAAAGTGATGCATGCATTTAAAAAATGATATAAAGTAGAAAATCAAAAGAAAAAAAAATAGTAGATGGGACCAAAATGATTCTTTTATACCGATGAAAGGTAGATCCCACAGTGAACCTATAATAAGAAGCCTTCAGTGTCAAATACCAAAGCACAAAAATATAGGCATGCCTTAGATATTGTAGGTTTGTTTCCATACCATTGCAATAAAGTGAATATAGCAATAAAGTGAGAGACACACTTTCCCAGTGCATATAAAGTTATGTTTATACTTCAGTCTATTAAGCGTATAATAGCATTCTGTCTAAAAACAATGTATATACCATAATTTTAAAATAGTCTATGTTTATTTATCTATTTATTTTTTGAGACAGAGTCTCACTCTGTTGCCTGGGTTAGAGTGCAGTGGCGTCATCATAGCTCACTGCAACCTCAAACTCCTGGGCTCAAGCGATCCTCCTGCCTCAGTCTCCCAAGTAGCTGGGACTACAGGTGTGTGCCAACCTACCCAACTATTTTTTTTTTTGTATTTTTTGTAGAGACAGGGTCTCACTATGTTGCCCAGGCTGGTCTTGAATTCTTGGCCTCAAGCCATTCTCCTACCTTGGCCACACACACACACACACACACACACACACACACACACGCTGGTCTTGAATTCTTGGCCTCAAGCCATTCTCCTACCTTGGCCACACACACACCCACACACACACACACACACACACACACACACCCACACCCCCAAACGGGTTATGGCAGAGTCGTTTGCAGGAAAACTCAGGTCTGTGTCCTTATCGTGGTTCTCTTTTTGAGTGAACCGAGTTTTGGCTGGCAGTGAGGCGGGAGGTGCATTGGAGGAGGCCACCAGCTGCGGTGGGGGTGTGATTCTGAGTTGAGGTTGACGGTGCTGCCGGGTGTGGGTGTCGAGCCTGGTGCGGGCTCTCCTGTGCATTGCGGGCCTGGGTCAGGGGCCAGCGGAGGAGCTCCTGTTCTGGGTGGTCAGGCTCCGAGACTCATCTGATCAAGAGCTATTGCTGCTATATGGTGGAGCCACAGGGAAAACCCACCCTGGGGAAGAACCAGCCCTGTCCGGAGTGTGACTCAGGTAGAGGCTGCCTTGAAAGCAGTTATGGTCAGGCGATTCCCAAAATCAAATGCAAAAGCTGAACTGTTCCTGAGCCTGGTACTTCATCTGCCTGGCTCTTTTAAAAAAAAAAAAATTTAATTATTATGTGTACATAATAGTTATATATTTTTATAGGGTACATGTGATGTTTTGATATAGGCATACAGTGTGAATTAATCAAATCAGGGTAGTTGGGGTGTCTGTCACCTCAGGCATTTATCATTTCTTTGTGTTAGGAACATTCCAACACAAAGTGAGATATGTTTTATAGTAAATCCTAACTTATTGTTGATTATAGTCACTTTGTTGTGCTATCAGATACTGTCTATTCTATCTAACTATCTAACCATATTTTTGCACCCATTAACCATCCCCACTTTAGTCCCTCCTCCTTGCTACCCTTCCCAGCCTCTGTTCTACTCTCTGTCTTCATGGGATCAATTGTTTTTAATATTTAGTTCGTACATATGAGTGAGAACATGCAAGATTTGTCTTTCTGTGCTTGGCTTATTTCACTTAACATAATGTTCTCCAGTTCCATCCATGGTGTTGCAAATGGCAGGATTTCATTCTTTTTGTGGCTATATGATATTCCATTGTGTATATGTAGCACAATTTCTTGATCCATTCATCCACTGATGGCCACTTGGGTTGATTCCAAATTTTGGCTATTGTGAATAGTGCTGCAGTTAACGCGGGAGTGCAGATGTCTTTTCCATATACTGTATTCCCCTTGTTTGGATATATAGCCAGCAGTGTGGTAGTTCTGTTTTTAGTTTTTTGAGGAGCCTCCATGCTGCTCTCCATAGTGGTTGCACTACTTTACATTCCCTCCAACAGGGTACGAGGTTCCCCTTTCTCCACATGCTCATGCCTGGCCTTTTTAACCCCTTCCTTCTTGAGATTTCTTTTCTTTCCTGCGGTCTATCTATTTTGCTTCCATTTATTGGTTTCTGTCCTCACCCTTTGACTAATTGTTCCTTGCCTGCTTAAAAACCTCTGATGGCCCCCCCCAGAAGCTACAGGATCAAACTCAAACTCCTGGCCGGGTGCGGTGGCTCACGCCTGTAATCCTAGCACTCTGGGAGGCTGAGGCGGGCAGATTGTTTGAGCTCAGGAGTTCGAAACCAGCCTGAGCAAGAGCGAGACCCCGTCTCTACCAAAAATAGAAAGAAATTAATTGGACAGCTAAAAATATATAGAAAAAATTAGCCGGGCATGGTGGCGCATGCCTGTAGTCCCAGCTACTCGGGAGGCTGAGGCAGTAGAATCGCTTGAGCCCAGGAGTTTGAGGTTGCTGTGAGCTAGGCTGACACCACGGCATCTAGCCCGGGTAACAAAGTGAGACTCTGTCTCAAAAAAAAAAAACTCAAACTCTTCCCTGGCTCAGGAAGTGCTTGCAGCCTCGTCTCCTGTTCTCTCGTCCACCCTCCTTCCTCTCCTGAGCCCACACTCACATTCCAGCCACTGAGGTCTTTTCCTTAATCTTAAAACAGCTTGCCTTTTTCTCTGATTGAGAATCTGCCACCCTGAGATAATCACTGGTGCCATTTCATCCCATGCATCTTTCTCTGCGTGTCTGTAGTGCCTGTACACATGTACTTTTTCATAAACAGGATCATGTCATAGAAGTTGTTATCATGGACACTTTTTCAAAACAATTTTTGGTGCTCTCTGCTCAGAACATTCTTTTTCCTCATGTGCATTTGGCAAACAGCCCCTTTGTCTCTGCCCTTTCTCAGCCACCTGGAGCGAAGGTACTTGCTCCCAATTCCGTGCTCACTTGGTCTTTGAACAAGCCGTAATCGCGCTGTGCCGGAGCCGTGCCTTCTTTCTCCCCGGGCCAGAGAGTGCATTAATGCCAGGGCCACCCAGTACCAGCACCCAGAGCAGCCACGGACCCAGCAGGTCCTCAGTAAATCAGGATTTATGCAGTTAACAAATGACTGCCCGTCATCCTCTGTGTCCAGTGTGGCGCCTCCTCCCCCTCGACCCTGAGCGTCTCCTGAGGCTCCAGCCTTGGGCTCTTCCTCGTTTTCATTTCTCCTTTTTGTCCATTTTTATGTCATCAGCTTTCATCTCTATCCAGCAACTCTCAAAGCTCGGTATTTGGCCTCTGGTCTGTTCAGCCTTTTCTGGGTTCTTCTACCAACCAGAGTCAGCAGGAAGGAGGGTTCTCTCCCAACCCAGCTGCCCCGCCAGAGCTGTGTTTCCGGCCACGTGACAACCAGTCCCATTGTCAGTTTCCAGGTTGGAAACCAAGATTACACGCTATTATCCTTGGGCTACTTTATCACCAAACACTGTTTTGTTTTTTTACCCTTCTGATTTACATTTGTTGTACAGATGCTATATCAAGAACAAGGTCACAACTTAAAAAGAAAAAAAACATAACACACTGTTACTTCCATTTTCTCATGTGCCCTCTGGCTCTGCTCTCTGTGCAGATGGCATTTTCCACGTTACTGTACATTCCATATTATTTTCAGCAGTAGTGGCAGCAGTAGTAGGATTTCCCTCATCTTCTAAGCGTATTCTTCTTCACTGCCGGGCCTCATACTTTGGTTTAATGCTGCTCCCATTTCTCCCCCTCTTCCCATTCCTGCTGCCAGGCGGCCTCTCTTCCCTAGGAGGCCAGGCCCGTCTGGCTCTTGCCCTGGTGTCTGCTCGATCTCCCCCTGCACCTGCCACCACCTGACTGGCTCCCCTGTTTGGGCTTGTCACGTCACAGCCTTGCTGAGAACCTACACTTGTTCCCTGTCTCCTGCAACATGGGGTCCACGTGATTCTCAGGGTGCCCTCCATGCCCCAGCCCGCCTCCCCCAAGAGTTCATTTCCCACCGCTCCCTACACACACCTACCCCTCCGCATGGTCATTCCAGCACTGGTAGCTGCCACGTGTCACGCACTAAATGTGTGTGGGCCCCACGCCCAGGGCCTCATGTGCATTCTCTAGCTTAATTTCCGCGGTGGCCCTGTAAAGCCAGGGCTGCTCTTACCTCTCTATTTTACAGGTGAAAAACAGGGATGTTAGGTGACCCCCCCCCGTTGCTTAGTGGGGAAGTCAGCCTTGAACTCAAGTCTCCATTCTCATGTGGCGTCTGTGTCTTGACTGTTGCTGCTCTGCCTCCTGGCTGCAGGCGGGCATCCTCCTGCCCCACCTGCGCCTGCTCGCCCACCCTCTCCCTCGCTGACCTTCCTATCTGCAGAAATCCCAGCCTGCCTGGCTGCACTCAGTTCCCAGGCCCTTGGGGACTCTTAAGTTACTAACCTGATTGCTTCCTTTCCTGAATCCTCATTTCCTTTAGATAATACCAGTTGACCTAAGATTTAACTATTGTCTGTTTCCTGGGTTTCTCATGGGGACCGTAAGCTCCCTGGCATGTTTGTGCATACAGCACCTACTGTGGGCCAGGTCACCCAGAGGGGTGCATTTGTGCTGAGCAGATTCTGCATTTCCTTGGTGACCTTCTTTCCCTTTTCAGGGGATGACTTGCCTGAGCTGGACAACATGGCCGACAACTGGCTGGGCTCCATCGCCAGAGCCACGATGCAGACCTACTGCGACGTGATCCTCCAGATCCCCGAGCTGACCCCACACTCCACCAAGCAGCTGGCCACCGACATCGGTGGGTCCCCGTGGGACAGGAAGTGGGGGGGCAGCTCTTACCTCTGCTCTTACCTCTGCCACTCCCCTTTTGCCCTGCAGAAATCGCATCTCCCTTCTCCCCTGAACTTCGGCTTTGGATTTGGCTGTGAAACTGGTTCAAACTGCAGGTTCTCCAGGCCCCACCCCCGAGATCCTGACTTAGCAAGTCTGGGTTGAAGCCCGGACATCTGTGCTTTGGGAAAGGTCCCAGGGATTCCGATGGGCTACCAAGGTTGAGAACCATTGAGAGGAGCTTCAGTGATGGGAGGTGAAGTGATTGACGCAGCCTGGCCCCGCCTGGTGCCATTTACATCAAAATCATCAGCCAGTGTTTAATGAGCTCTTACTGCGTACCAGGCATGCTAGGCGCTCAACCCAGCGCTCCCACCTGTCCTCTTGTGCAGTCCTAGCTCCCCTGTGAGGTAGGCACTCTCCTCTCCACCGTACTGATAAGGAAACAGGCACAGGGCAGTTGTGTAACATGGCCACACAGCAAAGGTTGCTCCGTGGTCTCCATCAGAAGAGCATCCTGCCTCCCAAGTGCGAGGGTGTGTGCCCATGCTCCTGCCTGCCCTCGCCTGGAGGCCTCACACCCAGCTGTGCTCTGCAGCTGACAGGGAGCCCTGCAGTCATTCCATCGACTCACCTGTTCTTTAGCGCAGGCATCTCTTGGGGTGGTCAGAAGAAAGGGGGGAGAAGCCTTAAAGATCAGCTCCCTGGGGACCCAGCCAGAGCTTTGACCTGGGTGACCACAGGCCAAGCCAGGCCCAACTGGCTTCTGCCTCTTGTTTTGCAGAAAAACAACTAGAAGTGAATGTACTAGAAATACCTTCCTCTGGGTCCCAGAGCTGTTCGGATGGAGCCAGGCCTAGAATCCAGCTGCCCCAATTTCCTGACCCCTGTTCATTCCACAGTCAGCTCTCAGCAGTGACCAGAGGAACAGCCAGCTTTGGGGCCATTTCCCTGGGCACAGAGTTCACAGGAGAGAGAGGAGGAGATTCAAATGTGCCTTGATAGCCCCGTTAGTACAGGCAGGAGCACTGGGGAGAGAACCAACTGGAACTAGTGAGTGAAGTGAGATTCGGGGATTGCCCCTAGATTTCCATTGTCCGTGTTATTTCTCCCTCCCTGTTAAGCTCCCCGTCCAGGTTCATTATTTACTCATTCACGTCGATTGAGCATCTGAGTGGCAGCTGCAGATCAAGGAGACGGGATGCCACAGAGATTTTGACAGCTCCTATACTTCCTGTGCTTACACCGTACAGGAGTGAGGTTAGGGCTGGGAAGGTAAAGCTGATACGTGAAGCCACCAGGGTGTAAGACGATAGGGAGTGGGAAGGTCTGTGGCAACGCATGCCCACCTGAAAGAACGTTCAGATTAAGCATTAATACAAACAGAACAAGAAACACTGATGGACAAAAAAAAAAAAATGTCATGGTAGACCAAGGGCTCCCTGCTTGCAGCTCCTGGCCTATAGCCAAGCGGAGCTCACAGTTTTGCAGAGACACTTATGAAGGAGCAGGTACCCGACTGGTGGCTCCCTTCCTGGGGAGTAGCTTGTGCTAAGCTGGACATCAGTCAACCAGCCAGGACAGAGCGGACACCTCCTACTGGCCCTGCCCTGAGTTGGGCTCAGAAAGAAGACGAGAGGGAAGAGTCGGGCCTTGCCTGGAGCTCCACTCTAGTTACAGAGAAGAGATGAACCCGTGCAGTGATCAGAAAGCAGCGCGGGGCACACGGGGTGGTGCTGTCCTCTAGTCCTTCAGAGTGTGACAAGGGAGGGGGAGAAAGCCTCGATGCCTCCCTCAGGTTGGGGTTGCACCTGCCCAGGACCGAGGCAGGGAGGGCAGCGCCCGTTTATCGACCACCTAGGACACATTGGGTACTTTCGTGTCCGTCGTCCCATTTGACCCCCTGACCACGCTGCCTCATTGGTGTTAGTGGGCGGGGGAAGGACTTCTCCGAGGTCACACCTGGCTGCACGCGATTTACCCTCCCGATGCCTGCATCGCCCCAGCTTGCCTGCTGTTAGAATCACTGGGGTCACTTTCTAGAATGGCAGGGCCCTGGGATCCTCCCTTGGAGGTCCTCGTCGACTTGGTCTGCAGTGAGCTCAGGGCTGTGTATCTAACTGTGCTCCCAGCGCCTTGGGGAGTTACCTGGGAAGTGTGGAAATCTGCATTGTCCCAGGCCACCGCCTCAGACACTGGCCCTGTCCAGTACTGGCCCTGGGGTACTGTCAGGAAGTCTTGGCAGCTGCTCAGACAAGCACAGCTGTGTGTCCTGGCCTTTGGGGTTTTCCACATGGTCAGTGGGATACACGGGGACACTGCGGGGCAGGTGGGAACCCAGGAGTCCCCAGTACAAAGCTTTGAGTGAGGTCAGCTTGTCTTCCGACTGGTGCTGGAGGGGTGTGTGCACGTGAGAGTATGTGTGTGTGTGTGTGTTGGTGGGGATGATGTTGGTTAGTCCTTTGTCAACTTAGAATTCCCGGACTCAGATCAAACTCACAGTCTGGTTTGACCCCGTTAGAAGAACCCTCTGAGTAAAGCTTTGCCCAGTGCTGGACGGCAGAGCAGGCACCCGGCATCTGGGGACTTGGCGGGGTAGCTTCTCTGTTTCTCAGGCGGGGGGGCCTTCTGGGGCTCTGTCTTGCTTGTGCTGAGTCTGTTCCGCCTCCGCCCTCCACAGACTATCTGATCAATGTGATGGACGCCCTGGGCCTGCAGCCGTCCCGCACCCTCCAGAACATCGTGACGCTCTTAAAGGCCAGGCCTGAGGATTATAGGCAGGCCAGCAAAGGCGTTCCGCCTCGCCTGGCCTCCACGGTGGCCAGCATGCGGAGTGTGAGTTACTGATCCGCCACGCGCCCGACTGCCGAGGTCAAGGCTGGTGTTCTGCAGTCTCGGGACTCAACTAGCACGGACTCATGCTAAAACTGCCAGGGACTGGGCAGAATTTGTTTTAAAAAGACTTGGTTCATTTATATAATCAAGAAAAGGTTGTAAATTAGAGATATATTATTTATCAGAGGGGACTTTTTAGATAATTTTTTAATATGATGTGATCTTGAAAATGGAATTAATAAAGACTGTGAAAGGAGAGAAGGCTGTTTTCCTTCCTCCCCCCTTCAGCGAATATTTGAGTGCTTCCCATCTGCAGTGCCGCGTGCACTGGGGATGTGGCCGTGCGGAGGCGGTTGACACTCCGTGGGAAAGCAGGGACGGAGAGAAAGGCAGACCGAGAGGACGATTTCCGACGTAAGTGCTGGGGGAAAAGCGGGCGTGGAGGGTGGGAGACGGCATTGGGTAAGGGGTGGGCAGCCCCGAGACCTGCGGGATAAAAGATGCATGGCAGAGAGCTGAGGAGGAGTATCCAGGCCGAGGGTGCAGTGTAGACCAGGCCCTGAGGCGCATCCAAGGTCAGCTGTGCCCAAGGTCAGCAGGGGGCTGGAGAGGAGCGGGTGATGCAGAGGGAAGTAGGAAATAGGGTCAGGGAGGATGTGGGGGGCCGGATCATATGGGGTCTTGTAGGCCATGGTAAGGATTTTGGCTTTCACTTTTTTCCTTTTTTAAGATTTTTGGGGCAATGTGAATTTCTTCCATTTTCTTTTTTTGTTGTTGTTGTTAACAGCTTCTGTATCTGTTAGGATTGTATTTGTCTGTAAGTAATGGAATAACGTGATATGAGTGACTTAAACAAATAGGAATTAATTTTTCTCTATAACAAGATGTGCAAGGGTGGAGCCTGCAGGCACCAACTTAGTGGCTGGACAGAGTCAGAACCAGGACCAGAACCAGGACTGCGATCTTGGCCTTTTTCCCACATGTGGACACCTTGTCATCAGAGGTGACACCCGCAGCTGCAGGTATCGTATCCGAGTGCAGGGGAGGAGAGGGGAGGGATGGCAGAGCAGCCATTCTGTCCCTTCTGTCAGAGGAGCAGTGGCCAACCTGCTCCTGGGCCTCACTGGCCATTTCCTGGTCACGAGGCATCCCCCAGCTGCAAGGGAGGTGGGAAGCTGGGCACAGGATTGGCTTCCGCTGCCACCGTTTCTCAGCCTCAGCACTAGTGACATTTTGGGCGGATCAGCTCTTTGTCGAGCACTGCGGGTGTTTAGCTTAGCAGTACCCCTGGCCTCCACCCACTAGGCGCTGGGAGTATTTTCCTAGTTGTGACAACCACAGATGTCTCTGGAAATTTCCTGAGGGGTAAATTCACCTGCAGTTGAGAAACAATGGCTTAGACCAATTAGGATTTATTGTCTGGGCTGGGCTTACTGCTGCCATGAACAAAACTGGGTTTCTGTTAGCAAGGAAGAGAGGAATGACAACAGTGTCTGTCATGGGCCGTCCCTGGAAACGAGCCCTTCCTGGGGCTCAGGCTGGCCTGAGCTCTGCCTCTCTCTGGGCTCCTCGCCAGCGTGGAGAGGTTTAGGGGTCACTTATCTACCACGTGGCAGGGCTGGGGTTCAGAGCGAGCCTGGTGACTGTGGCATATGCACCCCTGACCCACTGCTGGGCAGCTTTCCTCGTGTGGGGCTCAGGAGGCATGTGGGGGACACCTAGTCCCAGTGAGGGGGGTCAGCCTGCTCATGCCAGCCCCCTAGAGTGGCCCTGCCATGCCCGTGACTTCTCTTGAACCAGCCCCACCGGGCTGCCAGGGCTGCTGTCCCCCGGGTCTGTCTCCACAGGGGTTCCCACACATTCCGTCCTCACAACCTTGGAATCAGTTTGGCCGGCCCCAACAGAGCATCAGCCTCAAACCTGCACCAAGAAAAATATTTTGGTTTCTTATGTGGTGGATCACAGACTGTTCCTGGCAGGGTTTGAGCCTGGCTCTTGCCTTGAAGAAGTAGAGCCAGAAACCTGGAAGGTGACACTGCGCTGCTTTAAAGTGGAAACTCTTTGTGGTGAGCTTTGTGCCCATGTTCGTGAGAGCCGCTGGGCTTTGGAGTGGGACAGACTTGGGCTTGATTCACAGCTTTGCCACCTCCCAGTGTGTGACCTTGGGAAAGTCACTTCACCTGTCTGAGACTCATTTCCTAATCTGAAAACTGAGGTCATAGTGGTACCTAACTCCTAGGGTTATTTGAAGAGCCGTTGAGATACAGAGACAGTGACGGCTCGGACACAATGTTAATTCCACAGTCCTCCAGCAACGGCAACCTACCTTCCCTTTAGGGGTAGAGGTGGGAGTTACAGAATGACATTTTCTGGGCAAGTTGGGCCCTGCCCTCCTAACTTTTCAGCCCTAAAAGGCTCTGCAGGGGCACCAGGGTAGGAACAGGACAGCATTTCCCTCCTCTAGATCCAGACGGGAGAGGATGCCCAGCTGACCAGGGCCTGCTTTTAGCCATAGGCCATGATTCCACCGCCTGGCCCTCACCGCCCCGCAAGAGCAGGGATGCCAGGCTGACGCCCGCTATCAGCCCGGTCCTGGTCTCACGTGAACAGAACCTCTCACCCGCCCTCCCTAGGTTCCCCCGGGGCTAGCCGGGCAGCGTCCCCTCCATCCCCAGCCACAGTGACCACGATCCAAATGAGCCTCGTTGCTGGGCCTTTTGCTGGGATACCAGGAAGGAAGAGCTTTGTTCCCCCTGGGGTGCTACGTGGAGGGGATGGAGCTGGCACTGTGGGAGGAAATTGATGCGGGGGAAGAACAGCACGTGGAGAGAACCTGCTGGGGAGGGACGGCAACACGGGGACACCAGATCTAGGTGAGCCCTGTGTGGAGCCACGTCTGAGATCCCTGCACGTGTGCCACAAAAGCCAACGAAGTCCCTTTGTAGCTGAAGCCTGTTCAGATCGACATGTGACTTAAGAGCAGGCGAAGGAGCTAGCTAGATAATAATGCCCCGCAGCGTCAGATGAGACAATAAATACGAATGCTCCCAGCTCCTGTAAGGCTGCGGTCCCCAACCTCTGGGCCATGGACTGGTACCGGTCCATGGAAAAATGGTCTTCATGAAACTTAGGAACCAGGGGGTCGCACAGCAGGAGTGAGTGGTGGGGAAGTGAGCAAAACCTCATCTGTATTTACGGCCGCTCCCCATCACTGGCACCACCGCCTGAGCTCCGCCTCGCCCCCCTACCCCCATCTGTGGAAAAATTGTCTTCCATGAAACTGGTCCCTGGTGCCAAAAAGGCTAGGGACCGCTGCTGGAAGAGACTGGTATGGTTATGACCATTGGTACCAAGAGGGTGAGGCTGGGGTCTCAGCTTTGTCACTTACTAGAATAGCGACTTTGGGCACCTTACTTCACCTTCCTATGCCTCAGTTTACTTACCTGTACAATGGGATGATGCTGTTTCTCAGAGGTTATGAGAATGAAATGAAATAAGACTTATAAAGTATTTGGCCTGGTGCCTAGCACATGGTAAGTGCTTAATACAATGTAGCCATTGTTTAGTAACAACAGCAAATGGTAACAGTGAGTGTAGGACAACCACCACTGCTAATAGTAAAAGCCACAATCATAGTAGTAAGGATGGTCACCACCAAGAATTGGGACTCCAGCCTGCAGATGAGCTGATCCCTGAGCTGGGAAACCTGGCTTCTTCCAGGTCGTTTCTACTCGGCCCCTAGCAATCCACCTTTGACCAGAGTGGCACCGACTCTGTGGCACCTCCTTCCTCCCCGGGTGCCACCGTGGGCACTTGGTGGGAGGCCAGCTTATTTATCTTCTAGGCCAAGAGACCTGGGTGGTCTAGGCCAGCAGGGCTGTGCCCCTGGAGACCCAGCTCTGAGCCAGCGCCCCTCATCACAGGGGCCTGGTAGGCGGCAGCAGGGCGCCGCGGTGGTCAGCTGTCCGCACCTGCCAGACCCTGCTCTTCTTTGGTAACAGCTTCCTGATCTCTCTCTGGGGAACTTAAGGTTGTCATAGTTAGCAATTAAAAATACAGGATGCTCACAGAAAAACAACAAATGGTTTATTAGTATAACATATCCCAAAACTGCATGGATATATTAATACTTATACTAAAAAATTAATTTTGCTGTCTATTTGAAATTCAAACTTAACTGAGCAGCCTGAATTTTATCTGGTAACCCCAGGAGCCATGCGCCCCCAACCCCGAACCCTTGGACCATGTGATTCTTCTGGAGGCTAAACTGGCTTCAGGTCTCTCTCTCTCTCTGTCCTTGCAACCCAAAGAAGTGGCTGGGTGGCACTGAAAAAGACATTAGGCCACTGCTTCAGGGACAACCTAAAAGGAACTTACAGAACTACACGAGAGAGCTACCCCTTGACCGGCTGACGAGACCGTCCCTCAGCGGCCTTTGCCGAGTGTGGGTGTCCTTCCACCCCAGCCGCCCAGCTGGACAAAGGACAAAGCTCAACTCAGTGTTTTCTACTTTTATTTTCTAGAACAGAGTATGTGCCACCCGGCAGGGTCCCCACGGGTGATGCTCTTCCTCCTCCCACCACCCTCACCCTCCCAAGCCTGTTCCCAGAGGTCAGCCAAGGCCAGGAAGGAAGAGGCCACACGGCATACCCACCTTTCCTCTCTGGGGCAGACAGCAGCTGGTGTTCTGGGGGTCCCTGGGGATACCCAGGACAGGTGGGGATGTGGGCAGGGCCCAGGGAGAACACAGTTCCCACATCCCGTACAGCGCCGTGGCCCTGCAGAGCCCTGGGCCTGGGACTGGCCACTTGCTGCCTGCCTCCGTGTTGAGGGACACAAGCTCCGGGCTTGGACACCTACTGTCTGGCCCTTTGGAGAGGGCACCATAAAACGAGGCCTTGGCCAATGGCATCTGCTTCTCAGCTTCGAGAAGGGGTGGGCAGGGGCAGGGTTAGATGGCGTCACCTTCACTGTCAGACTCGATGACATCCAGGGGCTGCAGACGCAGGGAGTCATAGTTGGGGGGCGGGGTGCCCGGGATGGGCAGCGCCTGCTCGTCAGGGTAGGCCCCGGCGCTGGGGCTGTGGCTGGCCGCGTCGGGCTGGAAGCCGAAGTTGGTGTGGGCCTCCACCAGCTCGGCCACAGTGGGCGGTGGGCCGGCATAGCGAGCTGGGGCTGGGCGCTGCCGCGGGCTCTTGACAAAGGCCACCAGCTTGATGATGGTGATCCACACGAAGTCGATGACGATCTCCACAAACTCGATGAGGCAGAGCACTGAGCCCCCCATCCAGAAGCCAAACTGGCCGCCCAGGTTTGAGAGCAGCCAGACGATCTGTGGGCAGCAGGGAGTAAGGGCCTGGCTGGGGGTGGGGTCGGGCCACAGTTCCGGCCTCAGGCCCAGCTTCACGAAAGGGGAGAAGGGTGGCCATCACAGCCCAGTTTAGGGGCCTTCCTAATGACCCCCATTGGGCTCAGAGTCCTCCCCACCCTCAGAGTGCAGGGGGTGGAGCAGGGCAGGACTGGGGTGTCTGGAGCCCCCCAGACTCACATTATTGGCTGCCGATTCCTCAATGGTGCGATAGTTGAATTCTTGGAAGTAGATGTTGAGCTTGACGACTCCCTTCCTGCAGGAAGCAGCAGAAGGGCTGGGACTGTGGAACCTCCTCCCCGATGCACACACACACATGCACACGCATACACGCACATGCACATGCATACATGAAAGCGCACGCACACACATGCTTACACATGAACAAAGGAAAGGCAGCCACAGGGCCGCCCCAGCCCTCCTCTGGCCCGAGCATCTCACAGGGCCTCTCTGCCCAGCACCTGTCTGTAGCCCACTTTCTCAACCGCGTCCCTGCCAGTTTCCTAAAGGGTACTCTGACCTGAGACATCCAAAGATCTGCCCTGAGCTCCCTCTCCTCACCCCTAGGTGGCCCAGCCCACGAGCAGCTGGCAGCACTGTCAGGGCACCTGGGGCAGAGAAGGGGGCCGAGTGGGCTTCCACTCACACCTGACAGTCCTCAGAAAAGCCATGCTGTCTCCTAGCTCCAGGCTTTTGCCCAAGCTTGCCTTCTGCCTGGGCATCTGTGACCCTTCTTATTTGAACAGTTCCTTCTCCTCCTTGGAGAGTCCAACTGTCAGCTCCCAGCACGCCCTCCCTGTCTCAGGCAGCCTGAGGCTCCTCCCCTGCTGTGCTCCTGAGTGGGGGCTTGTGCCCTCCTGACCACCAGCATGTTTGCATGGATCTGTCTTCTACGCTCCAATAGCTTCCTGATAGGTCTTTCTCGTGCTCAGTGCATTTGTGTTGAAAGGATGGAGGGTGGGTGGGTGAGTGGAGGATGGGGGGGCGTGGGTGGAGGGGGTGGGTATGTGGAAGATGAAGGGTGCGTGGGTGGAAAGTGGGGTGGGTGGAGGGTGGGTGGGAGGATGGAAGGATGGATGATGGAGGGATGGATGGACAGCTGGGTGGATGGCCGGGTGGCACAGGGAAGACCAGGCTCCTCCCTTCAGGGTGGTGGACCTGGCGTGCCCGAGGCTGCCTTTTCTGTCCCTCACTCCCGGCGCTCCCTCCTCTACGCTCGCTCCTGGTCTGACCGCTGTCGGAAGGGTTCAGAGCATCTGCCCTGTGCCCAAACCCCTGTGCTGAGGCTCTGGTTTCCCCCTTTCTTGCCTTCCCAGCCCAGCCCGGGCTCCAGGCTCACCTGCTCAAGGTGATATTGGTGCTTTGGTCCCGCTCCTGCGACAAGACGTGGAAAATCCAATCCTGGAACCCAAGAAGGCAGCTGAAAAAAATGGCGCCTGCAGCGTTCCCTCCCAGCACTGCCCCTGCTCCCTGTGGGCAGGGAGACGGCAGCCCCGTGCCCTCCTGACACCCATGGGTGGGACGGGAGCAGGAGGAAAGTCACGTCACGATGGCAGCTGCGGCTGCTGCTCGGGGGAGAAGGGATGCAGCCCACAGACTCCCTCCAGGCCCAGCGTCCTGCCCAGCTCTGCCCGCTGGTGGCCTCTGCCTCCAGGTTTCAGCTCAAGTGTCACCTTTTAGAGAGGCCTCCCCTGAGCACTGTGTCTACAGTGGTCTCCCCGCTCACCTTCTCCATCATCCTGTCTTACTTCTGTGTGTGTGTAACATCTCTCTCCAGCTGGAATGTCAGCTCCGTGAGGACAAGGGCTACGTCTGTCTCTCACTGTCCCTAGCACAGCGCCCGGGGATTATTGGTGGAGGGAAGGATGGAGGGAAGGAGGGAAGGAGGGGGGAACTCCTCTGAAGTTCCAAGCAGCTGCATCCTATGCCCAGACTTGTCCCTTGACCGAAGATGTGGGACCAGGAGCTTAGCCACCCACCATCTCACCTCGGAGGCCTCAGAAGGCCAGTCGGCCATGGAGATGGTCATCTTGTACTGGGTGTCACTGAAAGAGAAAGGCAGCCCTGTGGCTGTCCCCGCCAGAACCGCCCCCTCCGTGCCCTGCCCGCCGTCCTCCCAGCCGCACTCACTTGCAGGACTCCTTGCACAGGCCGATGCAGGTCTCTCTCTGGGCCAGGCTCATCTGCAGCTCTGAGTAGCAATGGGCTGAGCAGGAGAGAGGGAGGTGGCCAAGAGACCATGAGGGGCTTTCTAGGGCCCCTCTCCCGCCGAGCCTCTCTGGCCCTGGGCCACCTGGGGCCCCTGGTTAGGTGGAGGAGGGTGTCATGGAGAAGCAGCGCTCCCCAGCCAGCCCCCATCTCCAGCCATTTCACCCCTGCCTGGCCTGGGGGACGCTTGCCCCAAACATCCTGGACCAGCTCACGGCTTTCCCTGTGCCTGCCATCCCCATCCCTGCCCAGGTGACCGGGTTATGGGGTCATGTACGAAGGGATGGGTGGGTGGAAGGAATAAAGTTTTCCCTTTTTGCTGTCTGTTGTGTTGGTTTTAAGAGGTGAGTCTACTGCACACAATATTCATCAGTGTTTGGACCCCAGACCACCCGCAGGGGCTCTTCCTCCTGTCACTCCAGGTTTCAAGCCCTTGGAGGCCACCATCAAGACAGTGGCCTCCTCCTCTTCCCCTCCCATCCAGCACCCCGCAGAGAGACACTGGTGAGCCCACACAGACACGGACACGCACTGAGAATGGACACACGGCCTGTGCGTGCGTGCACACACACACATAGGCGTGCACAAAAGCCAGAGTGCATACTTGCAGACTCTGGAGCAATTTGTGCCTGTGTATAAACCTGCACAGAGACGTGCGCCACAGTCACAGAGGGCACCTGTGCATTGAGACACGAGCGCAGAAACGACCTTTCGCACATGCATTTGGAAACAGCCATGTGGCCAGGCTCACGTGGCACACAGACACAGGCCCGTGAGGACAAATGTGCTCCCGCACCTATGTGTTTCAAGCCCACGCTTCATGGAATCGAGTACAGGGGAGTCCAGGTTCCTGCAGCAAGCAGTCCTGGGCAGGGGGTTGGAGGAGGGATCGTGGACTATGGAGAAGCTGCCGGGGCACATCCCTGTGCCCACCGAGGGCTCCGAGCTCTGCCCCCTCCTTGGTGGCCCCGCTCACCCCAGTCCGGGAAGTCCCAGTTGTTGCAGTACTTCTCCCCTGGGGGCAGGGGGTAGAGGTAGTGGCCGCAGCTGCAGTTACGGATCATGTGGTCTTGGAAGCAGGAGTGAAGACAGGCCTGGGGGGTGGTGCGGGGAGAGAACAGAGGCTCAGCTGATGAAGTCCCCACGCCAGCGCCAGGCGAAGGTGCCCAGGGAGCTGATGCTCAGGCCATGGGGCTGGGGGAGCCAGGAGTGGTGCTCCTTGGGCTGAGAAGCTGTCCTGAGATGTCGGGGGCCCCTGTAGTCAGGGCGTGGCTGTCCTTCCCCATTGGGCCTCATGGCAGGTCGCTGGATCCCACAGAGGGACTCCGGCCAGACCCCAGCAGCCCAGGTCTTGGCCCCCACGGCTCACCACGGGAGGGTGGCTCGCCCCAGACAATACAGCCAATGCTTAGGCAGACTCGTTAGGAGGTCAGCTCCTCCCAAGCTCTTGGCGTAAATGTGCCCAGAGACAGCCTGAGGAAGACAGGCGCGCTGGCTCTGTGTCCTTCCTCCTGGAGGGACACGCCCAGGGAAAGCCAGGAGAAGGATGACCTTTGACCATCCTGACCAACACTGATGTCAGAGGAAGTGAGCAGCCTGCTGCTCTGCAGAATGTCCCCTGGCGGGGCAGGGAGAAGGGACTCCAGCAGCTCTGGGGGCTGGATGTGATGAACCCCATTCAGCTGGCCCCACCATACTGGGCGCTCAGGCCACTCTGACCTGGTGTCCTCCACTCAGACACCAATTATGTGTCCTAGGGCAGGTCATCAGCCTGTGAGCCTGGCTTTGCTCATGGGTGAAACAGTGTTCGTCACACCTGCCTCCTAAGGGCGGGAGGACTCCGCGTAGCGTCAGGCGCCCAGTAGGTGCTGGACGGAGGGAAGCGGCTGTCGTCAGGCTTCTCCGCCCGTCCAGATCTGAAGTCCCGATCACCATGGACTGCTCGCTCCTCGCTCTGGCTCTTGCAGACTCCTCTCTGCCTCTCCCCACTCTGCCCCTCTCTTCCATGCCAGAGCTTCTATTCTCCCAGATGAGTCCGGGCCCCCCAGGGCAGGAGATGGGGGCAGGCTGGCAGGTTACATGGCACAGCAGGGGGGAGCCAGAGCTGGGGCTGGGGGAGGCTCTGACCTTGGGCAAGTGCCTTACACTCGTCCAGACCACGCTGTCTCATCTGGAAAGTGGGAGTCCTCCCCGGGCCCAGGCCTGTCCCTGTGGCTGGGGGTGGGCGTGGGGGTGCGCAGAGCCCCCGACCAGGGCGTGGGTCTCTGCTGAAGCTCCCAGCCTGAGTGGCCACTGCTCTGGAAGAAGCAAGAGCTGTGGTTCCGCTGGGAAGAGGTCCCTGGGGCTGGGGCCTCTTTCTCCACGTTTCCCATCTATCTCCCTGTGCTGCCCTGTCTGTCTGTCTGTCTGTCTATCCCTCCAGAGGCCCAGAAGATTCCCAGACTTCTCTGTGACAGACAGAAGCCCCTCTGGACAGCAGGTGGCCACACCAGCCCATGAGTGGGTGGGCAGGCGGGCACCAGGAGCGTCAATTCCTGTGACTAAAGCAAAAGGGAAAACCACGCCATGCTCAGGGCTCCCAGACATGGAGGCAGGTACCAGGCTGCCCCCTTATTATGCCTCAGTTTCCAGATCTGCCAGGGCAGACTGGGCTGGGAAGGGAAGTGTCAGCGAGTGGTCACTTCTGTCATCTTTACAAGGCTCTGGGGGGCCAGGTCTAGGGGCAGGTCTGGGCTGACCCTGGAGATCAGGACAAGAGGGAAGCCCCCAGCTGCAGCAAGGGGGATTGCAGACAGATATAAAGACGGACTTCTCAGGTAAACTGACGAGGCATTTGGACTGGGGTCTGTTATCCCAATTTCCTTATTCCTAAAGTGGGAATGATAACAGTAGCCACATCTGAGGGCTGCTGTGAGGATTAAATGACTTAATCTGTGTAAGTACTTACAACAGCGTCTGCCTAGCACGTGATGGCCTGCCATTGTTAGTATATCAAATGTTGCTGTTATTAGCATATTATTGCCCCGTGGGGGCTGTCGAAGGGATCCAGTGATGGCGGAGCGAATGCACGCTCTGAGCACAGCATCTCACACGATGAGAGCTCCATAGTGTGAGCTTCTGTTTTTTGTTGTCCTCTTGCAAGACCCCAGCGTGAGATCCCTATAATCTCGGGCATCCCCAAGGTCATATCTGCCCAAGTGGGGATGAGAGGTGGCCAGCACCGGGCCCCGGTGAGGACCCAGGAACTGCACGGGTCCCACAGCCCCAAGGGTGCCCTGTGGCCACCTACAAAACTTCAGCAGAGCCAGCATTGCTGGGGCGGCTCCCCCAGGGACCTGAGGCCTCGGGCCCTGCAGTTGTGGATGGGGCCCCAGGGTCACGAGGCCCGCACCGTCTTCCCACCTGGATGGAGTAGGTCGTGTTGTAGTTGCTGTAGAAGTTCTGGATGGGGACGTCGGAGCCGTTCATGGTGCACGGGCTGTAGGGCTCGCCCTTGCGCTGCAGCTTGTCCTGTGTCCAGAGGGCTTGCTCAAGGGGGGCCCCGGTCCCTCTCTCCCGTCAAGCATGCAGGGACTGGGGGTGCTGAGGGGATGGAGAACCGCAGGCCCCGGAAGGAGCCAGAGGGCTTATCACACCCGGAGCTGTGCCCTGGGGGCTTCCAGCCAGAAGGCCAGGCGGCAGGGGACAAGAGGAGGGCCGGGGCTGGGGCCAGATCCCCTCCTCTCAGGCCAAGAGAGGTTGGCCCCGGACAGCAGGGCTTCCACCCTCCACCCCCTGGGGCTGCCCCTGGGCTCCAGCCATACCACCAGCACCCCGATGGATGTCTCCGTCCCCGACATGGCGTAGATGCCCTCCTCCCTGATGAAGGGGTATGACCTCTGCTCGTGAAGCAGCAGCCGGACCCCAGCCGTGGACACGAGGAAGGGCACGTAGTCTTCCTGGCCTATGTCCAGGATCAGCTTCAGGCCTGTGCAGAAGGTGGGGTGAGGGGCCTCCTGAACTCGCACCCGAGGCTGAGCAGGGACCCACCACCCACTTGTCTAAGCTCCCTCCAGCCCCGGGCACGTCCAGGGCCTGCCAAGGAAGCTGGCTCCACTTTGCGAAAACACAATCTCCCAGTCCTGCTTGCCTTCTCCAAAGCCCCGTCGTCGCTGACCCAGGCTTCTCTCGCCCCGCCACAAGCTCTTGTCTGCTCGGCAGGTAGATCTGGGAGGCACAGCACAGCCTGGCCCACCCACGCCACCCCACCTCACACGGGGACCCTATTCTCCCCATTCAGCCCCACTCAGCGTCCGTGCCTCTTCCTGCGGCTGTGCCTCTGCAGATGCTGTTCCCTCGCTCCAGAGTGCTGTTCCCTCACTCTGGAATGCTGTCTCCTCTCTCACCCTTCCCCTAGAAACTCCTGCTCTTCCTTCAGATCTCAGCCAAGGGTCACTTCCTCCAGAAGCCTTCCCTGACTGCCCAGACTGAGTCTCAGGGTCTTTGTTGCACACTCTCCTAGCTCTAGAACTTTCCTTCCAAGTACTTGCCTCCCTTGTGTGATTCTTCTTCACAGCGAAGCAGTTTGCCCACATTATGTCATAACGACTCACGAGGCATAGCCACACACTAGACCAAATGCTGTGCTGTACTCTGCTACTGTGTGCTATCTCTGAATGGGGAAACTGAGGCTTTGAGAAGGTAAGTCTTGAGCTCAGGATCACCCAGGGAGTGAGTGGTGGAGCTGGGATTTGATCCGGGCACGGGAGAGTGAGTGCTTGACCACAAAGCTGTGCTGCTTCCAAATCTTCACTTTTGCCTTCCACAGAATGGGCCAGCAGTGCCTACCCCAGGGAATGTGAGCACTGGAGGAGGGAACCGAAGCACCTGGTCCGGTCCCCCTGCACCCGGGAGAGCCCCTATACTGGCCACCCTCTTTGTGCCAGCCTCAGTCCTCCCAAGTCCCACCCCCAACAGCTGATGGTCGTTTAGACCCCCATGGAGCTTGGTTTAAAGCCTCACAGCTCTGGCCCCAGGAGCAACCAAGACTCACCAAATTCAGTTCCGGGGTTGGCAGAAGGGAGCGCCTTCTCTGTCATGCCCCAGTTGAAGATGTAACAGTTGCCGTAATGAGGGTAGAAGATGGACGTGAAGTTCCTAAAAGAAACAGCATGAGCGGAAGGGCAGGGCCCGCCTCAGCTGGTGCCTCCCCGACTGTCTGCCGCCTGCCCTTCACCGAGTGCTCGCAGGGGCTTGGGAGAGAGAGGGGAGCAGCAGGTCATTCTGTCCACCCCCCCTGCAGGAGCCAGCGAGGAGATTCCCAGACCCCCTCGGGAAAGAGGGAGGAAGGGAGTCTCTCTGGGGCTGGGGCTCAGGCTCTCTGATTTAGCCATGCGTCATAAGAAAGAACTTTCTCAGATGTTTTCACATATACAGCCCAAAGAAGACGTATCTGTGTCCTCACCCCAGGAACCTGTAATTGTGACCTTCTTTGGAAAAAGGGTCTTTGCAGACGTAACCAAGGATGTTGAGATGAGATCATCTTGGATTACCCAGGAGGGCCCTAAATCCAATGACAAGCGTCCTTAGAAGAGACAGCGGAGGAGAAGACGCAGGTACAGAGCAGCCAGTGTGGAGCCGGAGGCAGAGTTATGCAGACACCAGCCAAGGAGCGCCGGGGCCACCAATGGCTGCAAGTAGCAAGGAGGGATTCCCCCTAGAGCCTTCTGAGGGAGCCCCGTCCTGCCGGCGCCCGGATTTTGGACTTCTGGCCTCTTTTGAGAGAGAATAAATTTCTGTTGTTTTAAGCCACTCTGTTTTGGATAATTTGTTACAGCAGCCACAGGACACTCATACAAGCTGTGAGAGTAAAAGGCGGCGCCAGACAGCATTTGCTCAAAGGAGCTGATGGGGTCAGAGGGGTGGATGAGGCCAGCTGGGGACCTCAGCCAGAGAGAGGAAATGAGATGCAGGGTGAGACTCCAGGAGGGGGAACGCAGAGGCCAGGAGAAAGAGAAAGAACTTGGAGAGGAGAGGGGCAAAGAGCCCGGTATAAGTTGCTATCTTGTGTCGTGGAAATGTTTCCCTAGGAAATAATTCAACAACAAATACTCTCTGAAGTAGTAAGAGTATAAGGTAGTTTCAGAAAATTTAGTTAAAAAAAATTTGGGGGGGTGTCATGGAACATTTCAAACATCAAAAAGTAGAGAGAATGAAGCCCCCACCGGCTTCAATGAACATCACCCCAAGGCCAGTCATCTCTGCCCCCCTCCCAATAGTAATTAACAATTCTTAAATTAGTAATTATTATCTTTTATTTGTAAACATTTCCATATGTACGTCTAAAAGTAAGAATTCTTTTTGTTTTGTTTTGTTTTTGAGACAGGGTCTCAAGCTGTCACCCAGGTTACAGTGCAGTGGTGTGATCATAGCTCACAGCAACCTCAAAGTCCTGGGCTCAAGCCATCCTCCCCATTCAGCCTCCCCAGTAGCTGGGACTATAGGCACGAGCCATCAAGCCTGGCTAATTATTTTCTTTTTCTTTTTGTAGAGACGGGGTCTTACTATGTTGCCCAGGCTGGTCTGGAACCCCTGGCCTCAAGTGATCCTTTCCCCTCAGCCTCCCAAAGTGTTGGGCATGAGCCATTGTGTCTGGCTGTAAGAACTCTTAAAAATAATCCTATAGCCATGTTTAAAATAGTTAACAAAATTCCTTGCTAGAGTATTGTGGAATATTCAGTTCAAATTTCCAATTGTCTCATAAATATCAATTTTGTTTTTTACAATTTATTTCTTTAAATCGAGATCCAAATAATTTTAACATGTAATCAGTTAGTAAGCCTTTTAAGTTTCTTTGAATCTATGGCTCCCTCCAATTTTTTTTTAATGCAATATAGCTATTAAAAGAGCTCTGGTTTGATCCAGCTAATAACTGAAAAGGAATGTTACAATTAGAACATCATTATTTTGCAATTGTTGAATTCAGGGCTTTGGGCAATGAAAGTCATTGGTGCCCAATGGTTTATCCCCTAATGGAAGACCCCAGGCCACCAAGGAAGTGACCTTGCCCTTAAAATCAGACCTGAATGGGATTGAGACTGTCTCTAACTCCTGTTAGGAAATACTGGAGACAGAGGAACATGTTAAAAGACACCACGGAGGCCGGGTGCGGTGGCCCGTTCCTGTAATCCCAGCACTTTGGGAGGCCAAGGCAGGAGGACGGCTTGAGGCAAGGAGTTCAAGACCAGCCTGAGCAACATAGCAAGACCCCATCTCTAAAAAACAAAAAAGACACCACAGAAAATCAGTCGGCAAAATCAGACTGGGTAACTCAACAGGATGCATAACCCCGTTTCTTGAGTGAGTAAACTGAGGGAGAGAGAAGGGGGCGGAGCAACCTATAGATTAAAAATCTTAAAAGACTTGGGTTAAAATCACAATGGGTGGACTTTAACTGAATCCTGATTCAAACAAACAAAAAACTATGGCATTTATGAGCATGAACATGACTGGATCGTTGAAGCTATTAAGGAATTATTGTTAATTTTTTTTCAGTGGGATAATGATATTGGCTCCAATTGAAAGGCTCCAATTGCTCACGGAATAAAATGCAAACTCCCTACTCCGGCGACACTCCAGGTGTTTCCAAACTCAAGGCCATGACACCTGCTGCCCCTTGTGCCTGGAATATTCTCTAACCAGCTCTTTAAATAGCTGGTTTCTCCTCACCCTTCAGGTTTTATCTGTTCTGAGACCTCCCTGAGCCCCTATGCAAAGCGATAGACTTTAACTATTAGTTAATAGCGCTTTAACCATTACTGGTAGTGATAGACTCCCCTAGCCAGCTATTCCATGTCATTTCCACCGGTTTATTCCCTGTATCGCATGCATCAGAATCTGGAATCGTCCTCTGGGTTGGATGGCTTTCTTATCAGCTGCTTAGAACGTAAGCCCAGCGAGGGCACGTGACCTTGTCTGTCTGGAAGAAGAGCTCAGAGGTCAAGAGCCCAGGCTGCAGAGCCAGCCTGCCTGATTTGAGTTCCCGCTCTGTCACTCACTAGCTGGTGAGCTTGGGGATGTCACTTCACCTGTGCATGCCTCACTGTCTCCATCCGTAACGCCGGGACAATAACAGCCGCCACCCTGCAGGTGAGGGTTAGGTGCCTGGCGTACCGTAACGCTCAAACAGTGCGGGCTGCTACTGTTCACAGCTCTGTCCCCAGAGTCTGTCACACAGTACACAGACTCTCAGTAAATATTTGTTGAATAAATCATAGTATGTGATAAGGGCATCGGCAGAGATAAGCGTGGAGCGGTGACACCTATTTCCCCGCGGTGGGTGGGGAGCGGGTCCGGGAAGGTTTCTTGGAGGAGGCGAGGCCAGAGCTGTGGCTCTGAGGAGGAGGAGGAGGGAGCTGGGCCTGGAAGGCAGGGAGGAGAAAAGGCGCACCAGGCAGGGGACACAGCACGGGCAAAGGGCTGGAGCGGCGGAGAAGCAGCCCTGAGCGGGCACTGTGGCGTCGACACACGCCAGGATCAGGGCTGCGGCCGCCGGGAAAGAGCAGAGCAGGGCAAACCAGCTGAAGCCGGGAGGCCCTGCTCTCGAGGAGAGACCTCGCCCCAGGGTGCGGGGACACAGTGTTCCCAAGAAACTGTCCAGACAGATGCAGCCCAGGAGGCTGCTCAGGGTGTGGCCCCATCCCCTCCTGCCAGGGCCGCACTCTGGTGTCTGGGACGTGCCAACTATTTGCTTGTTGATAATGCTCTTTACCCAGAGAGGCTGCTCCCAGCACCGGGCGCTCTGGCCCCAGAGCTGGTGTTTCCTATGAAGCCTCTCCGGGGGCAGGGCCCAGACCTGCAGACAGAGACCTGCAGGGTCCAGGCAAGACTCGAAGTAGAGCATCTGGGCAGGAAGCGACATACCAACAACAGAGCTGTGCAGTAGGGGTCGGGGAAGGCTTCCCAGGGCAGAGGCTAGCTGGCCAATCCCTGAAGCAATCATAATGGTGATGATGATGCTTATATATGCCCAGATCTTGGTTTCTAAATACCATTCTCTAATAAAAAATAAAAAAACAAGGCTCTTTGTAGAAAGGCTGATTCTAGTGCTGCAGCTTCTTATAGTGCCAGAAAGTAAGGAAATAGTCAATTAAAAAAAAAAAAAAAACAGATGAGGACATGTCACAGAGACACAGGAGCTAACTGAAGAGCTCCCAGTGGCCAAAGCTGGAAGAATTGGAGCAAGAGAATAAATACCGTGGTGTTGGTTTATAACCCAGATACATAGGAGCCCTTGCTGTATAAGGAAATGGTTGCATAAATGAATCAATGGAGGAGAGATAAATATCCCTCGTGGAAAAATTGCAAATCATATCTATTCCTCCATCCAGGAGGGTGATATTAGGCCCCTTCCCCTGCCCACCCCTCTTCCTCTTCCTCCCCTGAGCGTAGACTGGACTTAGTGACTCACTTCTGAAGTACGGAGCGTGGAAGGGGAAGGTGGCTGCTGTTTTGCAGCGGAGAAGCCTGGCACAGTGTACGTGGAGCAGGTGAGGAAGGTCAGCATCACGGACGGTGTCACATGGCCATGACGCACCCCCAATACAGTGTGAGGAGGGCCCCTGCCGTGTGCTCAATGCTTCGCCCGAACCCACAGCCCCAGTGGAGAAATACAGATAGACCCACATGGAGGACTTTCTATAAAGCACCTGGCCGGTGCTCCCAAACTGTAAAGTTCATCCAAAGCAAGGAAATCCAAGACGTTGTCACGGGGACTAAGGAGACATGATAGCTAAATGCAGCGTGGCCTCCTGGAGGGGACCCTGGACCAGGAAAAGGTCACTGGGAAAAGCAGGCAAAATGTGAATGAGATGTTTAGTTTACTTCATAGTCCCGTGGCAGTGCCGGTTTCTTAGCTGTGACAAATGACCACCCTGATGCAGGACGTTAACCACAGAAGAGACTGGGCGAGGAGTCTAAGGGAACTCTGCGTACTCTCTTTGCCGCTTTTCTGTAAACCTAAAATTATTCCACAATAAAAAGTCTATTTTTAAAAACGCTCCTATAATGCTCACCATGTGCCCGGCACGGTACTGAGTTCTTTACATGTGTTAACTAATTTAATCCCCCTGATGGTACTATGGGATCATTTTGCTGTGCCCATTTTCTGGATGAGGAAACTGAGGCACGGGAGACTTTGTAATGTGCCCAACCACACGCAGAGCTGTCATTCGCCGCCAGGCAGCTTGGAGTTGGGGTCCCAGCGTGGCTCAGACTGTCTTAACACTGCAGCAGCCGCTGCTTGGGCATTTACTACGTTATGAGGGACGGAGGATGGAGACAGAGGGGAAGCGGCGCCAGTGTTTGGAGCCCAGCACCAGGGAGGGCAGAGAGAGGCACGTGCTGGCAGCTGTGTCCTGGGCTGACTCAGGAAGGCAGGTGACCCGAGGCTGCGGGAGTGAGGGACAGCTCAGAGACAGGTGGACTGAGATTTCTGTGCCAAGGTGCCTGGGTGGTGTCTTTCACTCAGATATGCTGAGGGCGGGAGAGGGAGGCTCGGGAGAGGTGGGCGGGGGGTGGGAAGATCACCTCCGGTGAGGTGACAGAGTGATGTGGGGTGGGCCTGGCCCAGACTGCTGGCTCTGCCACTCACCAGCTGTGTGACCTCAGAGATGTTACTTAACCTCTCTGGGCCTCGGTTTCATCATCTATAAAATGGCGGGGAGGGGAAATAAAGTACCTTTCTCGTGGGCTTGTTGCCAGGATTAACGTAATTTTATACACATAGGGTACTTAGAATACTGCCCTGCACACAAGAAGCGCCCAATAAATACTGGTATAATTTTCGAATTTGAATTCCTTGTCAACTGTGGGTTTCATAATGCTCATAATGATTATTTATTGAGCCAGTACTATTGTCGGCCCTGTATGGCTCATTTAATATTCAAAATAACCCTGCAGGGTAGTGCTGTTATTTCCCCTATTTACAGAGGAGGCGGACTGAGGCCCAGCAAGGTTAAGAAACTTGTTCAAGGTCATACAGCTTGTAAGCCAGAGGCAGGATGACAGCCCTGGTGGTCTAACCCCAGACCCCACCCTTGACTAAACTCACTGCCCAGCCCCAGCCCCAGCACAGAAGTCATGTGGCTGATCCTGGGGGCTTTGCCTGCCCTTTTCCCAAGAACAGCTCCCCGGCTTCCCTTTGGGGGACCCTCAGCCCATCTGACCCAAATGGGGCTTCCTTTGGAGGGCCAGAGGCAAGCTGGGGCAGCTGGCTCAGTGCGGGGGCTGTGCTTGTGCCCTTGAACGCTGGCATCCCGCTCAGTGGGGAGGGCCCTGACAGCAGACCCCGCGATCCCAGCTCGCTCCCGCTCCAGGGCGTGTTCTGACGCAGCAGCGGGGCCGTATATTTGAGGTTACGGTGCCACATCTCCCTCTGGCAGCTCAGCGGGTGAAGGTGGATTTGCTTGTGGTCATCACGCTGGTCCGTTTTGGCAGGTATGGTGAGGCGGGTGTGCCCTGAGCAAAGGCCCCTGGCCAAGACAGTGGGGTTCAAGTACAGCCTGCAGCCAGCTAGCTCAGGAGAGGCCCAAAGGCAGGGCGTGGCCCGCCAGCGGGGTGCCATCTGGCCGTTCTGCCACCTGTGGGACCGCCTCTTTCTCATTGGCACAACGGGCCATATGTGCTGCTCTGCCCTGCTTGGGGGTGGGGGTCTTGAATTATTTGACATTACGTGCAAAATTCTTGTCTGTGTGTGCCTGTGCGTTTTGGGGGACAGAGGGTCTGTGGCTTTCAGCAGATTCTCCGTAGAGGTTCTCGAAGGTTCCCGAGTCGAGAGAGCTGGGCTGAAGCCACAGTCCCTGGGAGGATGAGCCCGGAAGCCTGTTGCATGCCCAGGTAGCAAGACTCAGCAAAAAGCCCCTTTCTCTAGAGGCCTGAAGTGTGAGAACTCGAAGCCCCAGGCCGGGAGGACACCAGCAAATCTCAGAAACAGGACTGGTTGAAGCCTGGGGCCGGGCCAAGGCGGGTGTGGCGCCCCACGCACCTGGCGGTGTGGCCGCGAGGCTGGGGAGGGGCCCTGGGGCTTCAGAACTTCTCGCGCCTGAGCCGTGTCCCTGTCCCACGTGCTCCCATCGGCTGAGCCAGCAGAGCCCACAGCCCTCCGGAGGTGCCACCATAGACGGGGACTAAGCTTGGCACTTAGGCCCAGGGTTTGTTCTGTTAGGAGCTGGGTTGACGTTACCCTCATTCTGCCAGTCTCTCGACGTCAGGGCTACAAGGGAAAAAATATGTGCAGCAATCCCTGCCATGGCCTTGCTCCACGAGCTGCATGAGCCTGCTCATTCTCTGCTCACAGGGACTCCGCCAGGAAGTACGGTCGTTCCTTGTTTCAGACACGAGAAAACTGAGACGCCAGGGTGCCTGCCCAGGTGTCCCCGGCCCCGGCTGCTGGCTGTGAGGCTGACAGCCTGGGAAGTCAGCAGACCCCACACCTTCCTCCTGGGGGGCCCCAGCTGTGACCCATGGCGGGGCGTGTACTAAGGCGGCCCCCTCCTTCAAGGGGACGACTCCATGGCGCCTCCTGCGACGGGGCAGAGGCTGAGTCATCCTTGCTGAGTCGTTCCCTCCTTCCCTATCCCACTCTCCTTGTAGACTTTTCCTAAAGTGATGCCTTCAACGCACCATGAGTCTTTCAGAGCATCCTTGTCTCTAACCCTAAACCTGACCTAACACACAAGGGCACGGAAAACTGTGGTGTAGACAGACAGCGAGTGGCCGAGCAGGATTAGGACCCTACCTACAGCACCCGCCACCTCTCGGAGCAGGGCCATGGCCGGGTGGGCGACTCTCACCGGTAGCTGCAGGGCTCTGCCCCGAACAGGCAGGACAGGATCAGCTGCTCTGCGGGGTAGCCCATCTGCACCAGCTCCTGGGGTGGCACCTGTGCAAAGATGTTGGTGGCCTGCAGGACGTACCACTCCGTCACGGCCTGGGTGGCGCTGGTGAAGTTCTGGAAGGTGCACTTGGTCCTGTTGAGGCTGCACTGTGGAGGCCAAGAGGGGTTCCCATGGGTGGGGGGAGCTGGCAGAGCCCCCGCCACTGCCCGAGGGCCCCAGCAGGGTGAGGGCAGCACAGCGATGTGCCAGCCGCCCCTGCCGCTGCACCTGGGTGGTGGGGAGTGTGTCCACACCCACGCTCACGCATGCTCAGGGACCGCCACCTCACACACGGCTGCATGTTGGTCACAAGGACCCCATGTGTCCACCAGCCTCGCCCCCACATGTACTCTTATGTGTGAGCAAAACCACACGCACAGTCATGTGGCATGTACGGACAGACACCCACTCTCTGACCGCCACAGGGTGACAGCTGCACACACATGTCCATTCTAGTCCCCCGACCCTGTATACCTGGATTCACACAAGTGACCTCCACACTTACACTCGCGTGGCCACACACACATGCACACGGCTGACCCCGAGAACGGTGCAGCCAGCAGGGATGGGGTGGTAGCCGGGTGACCACACCAGAAAGTCCTAGAGCTGGTGCTAGACCACGCCAGAGCTGGCGCCTCATGCCACGGGCTGGTCGGTATAGAGAAGTGGGGGTGGGGTAGGGGCTGCAGCAGTCATGACCCCGTGAATGAGCAGGGGAGGGCAGTGGCCCCAGCCTGGGTCCCCATCCAAGGCCGATCGTGAGAATCACCAGGGAGCCTGTTGACCGTACAGATTCCTGGGCCTGGGCCCAGAACTGCCCACTCAGATTCTCCAGCAGTAGGGCCTGGGGATCTGCATTGTGGCTGAGCTCCCAAGGGGGTCCTGAGACACAGACCGGGGACCTTCCTCCCACGTGTAGGCTCAAGAACTGACGGTGTCCCAGCCTCCCAGGGCAGGGCAGCTACTTCTTGGCATCCGACTGTACTGCACAGCTGTGGATTTTCACTGCCCAACGTCTATGCCTTTGTCTTTTGATGACAAGACTTGGTTCCTACTTCAGGGAGCCACACTTTCCCCTCATTCAGCCCATGTGGTCAGACAGAGGCTGACATCGCCTCCAGCTCCAGGCATGTGACCCAGGACCGGCCAATCACCAGAGCCCATCCTCTAGCTCACAGTGATCAGTTCAGGGGTGAGCATGTGACCTGGTGAGTCAGTCCCAGGACTTTCACTGGCGCTGTTGGGCAAGAGGAGCTCTTTTTCTGGGGAGATTGCTGAGCTAGGGGGATATAAGCCTGGCACTGACAGGGCCCTCCCTGTGGAAAGAGCCTGACAGAGAGTGAAGTCAACCTAGAGAAAAGTTGAACCAATATGGAGAGAGAGTCCTGATGACAGTATTTGAACACCTGGATCCAGCCATACCTGAATGCAATCTGCCCCTGAACTTCTTGGTTAAGTGAGCCAATGAACTCCTCCCACGTCTTGCTTAAGCTAGTTTGAGCTGGGTCACTTGCATCCAAAAGAATCTTGACTAACATACCAGCTATTTCCCTTTTTTAAAAAGCTCTGCAAACAAACAAAACAGGCACTGGCTTCCAGCCTATCCTTCCCCCAGCAAGACTCAAGTTGTTAATATTAAAGAAAAGAAAACTCCCATCAGCCTCACTGGGGAGGGCTCATGGCTTGACATGTACGCAGGGACCACTTACTAGTCTCATGGCCATTTTGCACTCTGGGGCATGGCAGATCCTTGCTGAGTCATTGTGGTTATCTGCAAAAAGGTCGAGGACCACTGGGTGGTGGGGGTTCCGCTCATCGATGAGGACGAGGGGCGTGTGGTTCCAGATGGTGAAGTTCAGGGCCCTGGTGGCATTGGTATGGCTGGACTCAGGAGCCAGGATCCTCTCCAGGACTGCTTCCATCAGCTCATCCAGGTCCTTCAGCAAATGCTTGACTTCGGAATACCTGGGTAGGGAGAGTGCCAGGCAGGTGGGCAAGGGACAGCTATCAGGCAGAGCGACTGGTATCTGGGGTCCTCTCACTCCAGCATGGCTGCCACCATGTGTAAGAAGAATGGAATCTAAGCACCCACCCGTGCATCCATGTGTCCTCCCACCATCTATTCACGCATTCACAAGTATTTGATGAGCACCTACTATGTGCCAGGCACTGGGCAAGGCACAGATGATATAGTAGCAAACAAGACAGACCCGGTCTCTTTCCTGATGAAATTCACATTCTATAGAGGGAGAATCATAATAGCTTATGGCCATTGATCATTTACCATGTGCCAGGTGCTTGGTGCTTCCTACATCTTATTTTATTTACTCGTTGCCACAATTCTATCGTGACCCCCACATATAGATCAGGAAACTGAGGCTCTGGGAATTGCTGTGATTTTCAAGCTCACCCCACCGATAAGGGGCAGAGCTGAGATTAGAACCTGGGTTTGGTGGGCTTCAGGGGGCATTCCATTTGTGCACAGGGTTCTGATAGTTCTCTCCCACGAGGGAGCAATTTTGGGAATAGGAGGCAATTTCAGGAGCTAGACGAGGCTGATTCCAGTATCTTCTTTCAGCCCCTGGGGGCTGTCATGTTGGAAATGGTGACCAGTCAGAGATGGGCCCACCAGGGCGTGCCGCCCCCCCGCCCCCAGGCTCTGCACTCCAGCCACTTGAAATCAATTTACCCCAGCCCCTGCCTCAGAGCATGGTCACCAGGGCCATGTGTACCGGCTCTGGCTGGAGGACTTCCTGCAAGAGGGGGCATTAAACCCTGGACAGGGGCCAAGGTCCTGGTACAAAGGTGTACGGCAGCCAGAGCTAACATTAGCTATAGACGTTGACACCATCTGTCCCCTGACCAATAAACAAGCCACCCGTGTGCACACAGGAAGAGGAGGATCCACAGGGTGGCATTGTGCAGGTGGTGGTGTTAGTACAGCCTGGGTGTCCACAGCTGCTGTCGAGCCTGGTGGCTCACTGTGTGCGCTCGGGATTCTGGCATGCCACTTGTTGATAATGTCACGGGCAACTCAACCTCTCTGAGGCTCTGTTCTCTCATCTACAAGACAGGGAAATAAAAATATGCACCTGAGAGTCGCTGGGAGGATTCCATGAGGTGATGCTTTCAAAGCACGTGGAACAGTGCCTGGCCAGAGCGTGCTGTCCCTATTATTATTAAGGGTTCTCTTGAGAAGCTCCAAGGACCCATCCAAGCAGGAAGAGCCCTATTACCAGAAAGAAGGAACTTTCTGATAACTGGAAATGTAATCATGAGCTGTGAATTCCCTTCCGGGACTTCCTTTTGGACAAGAATGTTCTCTGTGACTTAGCCACCCTGGCTCTTCTGTCAATTCCTTGAATGCACCAAGCTCTGTCTCATCCCAGGGCCTTTGCACATGCTGCGTCTCCCACTCGGGGCACTCTCTTCATTCTACCTGGCTAACTTCTACTCATCCCTTGGGGCATTTTTCCCTGACTGACCCCCTGTTTTTTCTCAACCCTGACTGGGTTGGGTCTCCTCTTATGTCTCCTCCTTTGATGCCTTGCCGGTAAATGGGGGAGGGGCAACAGGGCAGAATGGCTAAAAGTTGGCAGCTCTAAAGCTGGATCAGACCTGGGTTCAAATCCTGCTGTGTCCACTATGTGTCTCTAGGCAAGTTCACTTACCTCCCTGAACCCCCATTCCCTCGCCTATAAATTGGTGCTGCCACAGTAGTGCCCACCCTTAGGGTGGCTGTGTGGATTAGAATGCCATCAATTACTCAAAGAACACTGAACACAATGACTGGCATATCATAAGCATGTGATGTATAGTTTTTATATTTTTTATCATCACAATTATAATTAATTCAATATTTGTGGGAAAAACTTTAATGCCCTGTTTCCTCCAGTAGGCTGTGAAGAGGGCAGGAACTCTGTTTTGTTCGCTGTCTGGTGCCTAGAATGGTGCCTGGCACATAGTACCTGCTCAGTAAACATGTTTGGTATATATAGACAGGCACTGGTGTGCCTGAGGATAGGACTACCCTAGGTTCTCTTGCTTTTTTTCTTTCTTTCTTTTTTTAAGAAATAGGGTCTCACTGTGTTGCCCAGGCTGGAGTACAGGGGCTCAATTATAGCTCACTGCAGCCTCAAATTTCTGGGCTCAAGCAATCCTCCTGCTTCAGCCTCCCAAGTAGCTGAGACTATAGGTGTGTGCCACCACATTCGGCTAATTTTTAAATTTTTTTATTTGTAGAGACAAGTGTCTTGCTATGTTGCCCAGGCTGGCCTTGAACCCCGGGGCTTAAACAATCCTCCTGCCTCAGCCTCCCAAAGTGCTAAGATTACAGGTGTGAGCCACTGTGCCTGGCTCCGAGGTTCTCTTTAAGCCTAGGAAGCTTATGAATCGTGAATCTTACAGGCTGCAAAAGGATGAAGGCAACAGGGAAAGAAAGAGGAGGAGAAAGAGGGAAGGAAGGAAGGAAGAAAAGAAAGAAAAAAGAAGGAAAGAAAAAATAGAGAAAGAAGGGAAAAAAGAGGAGAAAGAAAGAGGCGAGAAAGAAAAAGAAAAGGGAAGGAAGGAGAGGAAAATTGGAAGGAAGGAAAAGAGAGAAAAAGCAAAAGCAGCCTGTACGCTCCAGGGACTACCCACTTGAAGGGGCTGGCGTTGCAGATGGTGACCGCGGGGAAGTCCATGGCCTTGAAGCCTACGGAGAGGGACACGCTGACCTCCCAGCTCAGGTAGGTGTTGATGAAGATGCTCCACTGCCAGCAGACGAGGGCGGCAAAGAGCAGCGTGATCAGGAACCACATGGCCTTCTTCTTGGGCCCCTCGCAGATGATGCGCTTGGGGCCGTGGGTGTTGGTGTTGTCGCAGTACCACACCAGCAGCTCCTTGTAGGTGTAGCCAGGGCCCTTCTGCAGCCGGTGCAGGCACTTCAGCAGGTACTTCTTCACGTGCATCGTGGCACCTGCGGAGAGAGGCAAGGAAGTCACATCGGAGGGGACACCAGCCTTTGCCTGTGAGGATGTCCCCGGTTGTGGCCAGACACCGGGCAGCACATCCCAGCCCTCCCTCCCTCTCTTCCTTTTTCCTTCTTTCCGTCCTTCTTGCTGTCCGTCATCTATCCATCCATCCCTCCATCCGTCCCGCCAACCAAAGAGCACTTGTCGAGCGGCTACCCTATGCCAGGCGCTGAACTGGTCCCTCTGGACTCGGTGATGAACAAAACGGACAAGGTTTCTTGCCTCCTGGGAATTCACATCCTAGCGGACAAGTTACTTACACCCTCAAGCCCCCTGGCTCCCCATGTGTGAACGTGGTACTGCAGGTCCTCGACTAATGTCATTTTGTTCAATCGTGATGTGGTTTCACTGTAATGTTGATGGGGGGAAAATCAATTCCCAGCCAGGGCCACGTCTGCGTGGGAGTTTGTCAGGGCACTCCGATTTCTCCCCACATCCCGAAGACATACACACTAGGTGAAATGGCGTGTCTACACCGTCCCAGCGAGAGTGAGCGTGGGGTGAGCGTGAGCGCGCCCTGCGACGGAATGTGTTCTGTCCGCCTTGTGCCCTGAGCTGTCGGGACAGGCTCTGGCCACCAGGACCCTGAGTTGGAATAACTGGGTAAACAGTTGTTTCCTTGTTTTTATTAATCTTTCTTAAATGTATGTATAGCTCACATTTGTTTCAATGCATAATATTAGAAGTGTTTTGGTCTTTATTTAGAAATTTGGTGTTTTTTTTTTTGACCAGAAATGTGTCATAGGAATTCTTCCTTGTGTCAATTCGCCTATAGTAAAATTGGTTTCGCTGTATGTCCTTTCACTTAAAGCCACAGTTTCCAGAAACCTATCGATGACGTCGTGCGGGGACTTACCATAATAATCACATCTAATTTACAGGACCGCCGAGGGGGCCAGATTAGGTGATGCCCACAAAGTGCCAATAACAGCCCGGCGCGGACCAGGTGCCCAGTCTACCAGTTAGTATCACTAGTAGCTGTTAGTGGGTCAGACAGATGATGATCAAGTAACCGTCAAAAACGCAGAGCTACAAAATGTGATAGGAAGAACTGGGACCCTGTGCCCTGAGATCCTCGCGGCATTAAAGGACGCGGGAGCCACAGTGGCTGGCTCTGAATCCCAGCTCTGCCACCTTCTCGCTGTGACTTTGAGCAGATCACTCCGCCAGTGCTTCCGTCTCCTCATCTGCAAAATGGGGACGATAATAGCTCCCGCCCAATGAGGCTGTTGTGAGGACAGGCTGAGGGAAAGCAGGGAGAGTGGGGAGCATGCCTGGCACCCACTTGTCGGGGCCTGGCCAGGTCTGGGAGTCCCGGGAGAAGTGACTGAGGAGCTGAGGCTCAAGGACAGGAGGGGGGTGCAGGACACTCTGGGGGTGGGGGTGGGGGCTGCAGAGGTGAGCAGGGCCAGGTCATGCAGGGCCTTGTGGGCCATGTTAAGGATTTGGGGTTTGATCCCAAGAGAACTGGAACCTTTGGAGGCATGAGGTGCGATGCCGTCAAAGCTGGGATTTGAAAAGAGCGTCCCAGCCGCTCGGTGGATCCGGATTGGAATGGGGAGAGAGCAGGTCCCGAGCGGCGGGTGGGAGCTGTGGGTCAGGGAGGAATATCAGACGTTCCCAAAGCTCTGCTTCCCACATGCGTGAGGAGGCAGGGTTCTTGTGACAAGACTCACTTGTCACGGAGCCTGGCACATGACAGATTCTAAGGCGATACCTGTTTCCTCCTTCCTTCTCCCCGGACATGGAGCAGGAAGCTGCTGCAGGAACACCCCAGCTCTATCCCTGGAGCCCCAGTTGTAGTCAATCTTCAGACCAAAGGCCACCTCCTCCATGAAGCTCTCCTGACTGCAGGCTGGAAGGACCCTCAATGTGGTGAGCAGTGGGACACCTGCTTGCCTGGCATCCTTTCCCCCTTGCTCTGATGTGTCAGGTGAACTTCCCCTCCCCTAGTCTCAGCTGGTGTGAGTTGCCAGGCTGACCTCCACCCCTGGCTCTGGGAGGCGTGCACATAGCCCAGATTGGACCACTGGGACTCAATTCTGTTACTTTATGCTGGAGTAACTGAAGAAGAGACCTCGCTTTTAACTAAGACTACTAAGCTGGTGGTATCTGGCACCACAGATGGGAAGATTCCTTGAGAATAAAACCAGCACAGAGATAAGCAGAGCCACAAGACTGAGAGAGAGATTTTTGACCACACCATTTGAACACTTGGATCCAGCCATGCCTGAAGCCATCTATTCCCGGACTCACTGGATACAGGAACCAATAAATTTTCTTTCTTGCTTATGCTGATCCACACTGGGTGTCTGTCATTTGCAACTATTAGAATCTTAACAGAAAAAGAAATTTACCTTGTTTTAACCTGTGTCATAGTTATTTGTGCCTGTGGCTTCTCCCATAAGATCAAAGCCCCTTGAGGGTCCCAGCTCTGTATCCCTGACAGTGTCTGGCACCGCACCGAATATCCAAATGTATAATGTCAGATCTTCACATCTAGACAGAAATTTTAAACTTGACCAAGCATGTTCACTCCTGACCTAATTTTCTTACACAGTAACGTCCCTCACCTTCCTTGCCCAGAAAGGATCCTGGCCCAGGCATTAAGCACTTTCCCCTCCAAACCCACCACCTCTGTTCTTTGATGGAAATTAAGCTCCATGTGCCTGTTGTAAGAGAATGTCCACAGACTAACCCAACCCTCAACTTTCCCCAGATGGCTCACTCCCTGCTGTGAAATAATAAAGTAATAATAATTATTATAATAACAGCTACAAGGGCAACATCAATGTACTAAGTGTTTGCTATGTTTGCCAACACCACACAGGTGAACCCCACATTAGCTTCTAATAAGTAGTTACGGAGGAAATAAACAAAGGGCCTCTACAATGTCTACCTTTTCTTATTCTCATTTAATCATTCTGATTGAGTCCAGGAGAAAGTCTCAGCTTGGTACTAACAGGTCCTTAACATCCCTGTAACCCTTCCTAATCTCAAAGTTTAACAATGAAGCCTCAGGCAACAGAACCTTGTCAGGCAACAGTATCTAGTATTCTGTTTTCACTGGGCTTATTGTCAAGAGGGACCTACTTATGGCAAGAGACACTGTCTTTTGCTTTGTGTTCATAAATATGCTTAAGTTACAAAAAAGGGAAGTCGATGTAAAAAACTGTTACGTAAACAATGGTGTTACATGTAGCAAAAGTTGTTACAATAGTAGGCAAGTAACCGAAGTTGGTTGAGTCCTGGCTGAGCTCCTAACTAGTTGGGTCTCTTGGATCATCAGCCAAGTGCAAATTAATAAATGCTGTAAACAATTTTATGTTGTTCTGGTCAGATTTCACCTCCAAGGTGATAGATGATCTGTGTCTAGAATGGATACGAAGCCTGAGTAGAAGGGTTTGAATCAGTTTAGAGCTTAAACCAACCCAAACAAAGTGGAGATTGAGTCCACGTGTGCACACAGGAAGAGTAGTCACCGACTGTCACGCTTCAGAGAGTCACAGATGGCTATCTATGCATTGGCCCTGAATGCCTGGGAAACGTTCCTGGCAGCAAGTGCAAAAACAGTACATGTTGTGTACAACTGTTTCGGTTTTCTTATGGGAGAAAAACATCTGCCCACTTTCTGGGATAATTTTTTCCTGAGATCCGACTCACACAGCCCAGAGTCCTTGTGGAAAGATATTTGGGAGCCCAGCGTGTGTCTCTACTTATTATTTTCACAAAAAAACGCATAAAAGCTACCCCATGTTCAATGACCAATTCTTTTTTTTTTTACATAAAAATTTAAAATTTATTTATTTTTTAAAAAAGAGCTAAGTGTCTATATCCACTGATAGCAATGCAATACCTAGTTTATGTTGACTTGAAACAAAACAAATGCCCATAAGGAAAAAAAGCTGTATTTTAATTTTATCTAAATTTACTTTCAGTCAATAGTTCAGTAACATTTCCCTCCCAATACAATACTCCCTCTCTCTATAAGGCTGTTCCTGGGAGCCAGTTTACGTAATGAGGGAGTTAAGAGTGTAACTGCTTGCAGTTTTAAATAGACAATAACTTTTTGCTTCACTTTCAACGTGCTAATAGTTGTGTCTAAAAAAATATGCAATTCTCAAAATTGTACCATTTCTGATTTCTTTATTATCTGTAACCTTTGGAAACTAATCACGTGAAACTACAAAATTAGCAAATGTCTTGAAATCTGTATATAAAACATAAATTACCTCTAATTTCAAACTCTCATTTATTAGTGTACCACTCAATCTTAAAAAAAAAAAAAAAAGAAAAAAAAAAGCGGCTCCAAAGATAGTCTTATACCATTCTTTAAAAAAAGAAACTGTTCCTTTTAACTTTACACCCACCCCACACCCCAATTTCAAAACACATCATTTAATTGTCTTGGTCATGGACATTTCCAAGATGAGATTTTATATTTCGTTCCCATAGCTTCTGGTTATCAGAAAACCCATGCTTTCCTTCATTGAAGGAGTTTGGTCCAGCTGATGTTGGTGTAACCCTTCCAATATTCTTCATCCTCATCTTTGCTTCTGGAGGCATTTCCTCTGGTTCACTATCTTCATCTTCATTAAAAGCCGCTGCTACTGAAAGAGTTTTTGGAGCAAGAGTCGGAACAGTTTCTTTAGGCTTACTTGATCCAAGTTTGATGGATATGGCTGATGCTTTCTTTGCTGTCTGACCACCTATGGCAAATCCAAACTTGGAGATCTTTGTAGGCTTTGTTGGGAGGTCTGCAGCTTCTTCTTCAGCTGATCTCTTCCCAGTGCTGCGACTGGAACTTTCCCCTCCATTACTGGAAGAAACAGTCTTAGTTTTCACAGGTTTTTCTGCTTCTTCTTCAGGTCCTCTGGCGGCTCCAGCTCGCTGCGACTTTTCTGGCTTCTCCTCTCCTGCCTTCCCGTCCGCCATTT